CAAAATAAGACACACCAAACAGACAATTCGATCTAATCAGAGTTTCTAGAAAGTGCAGTGTAGGTTAAAGGGGGATTAATTGGTTTAATTGATTAACCCACCTATTCCTAGTTGTGTGACCATGGGCTGAAGAGGAGGAGAGATTTGATCTGAGTTCCTGTTTTCTTATATCTAAAATGAAGATAATATGAAACTTAAATAGTTATATAAGTATTAAATGATTTAATATGGATGAAATGGCCTAATATGAATAAATATATATGTACATACATATAATACTTTGAATGGGGTATTTTTCTCCCCAAATTATGAGCAAATCAAGGCTCAAAGACCTTATGCTCAAATATCAATAGGTACTCTAGCATGAAACAGAAAATGTGTTTACTGGCAGCAGTTCACTGGCTCTTTTTCTTTCAGAAAATAAATGGGACCAACCTTCTTAATCCTAAGTGAGGGAGTTCAGGGTCTGTTTGACACCAAGGTTGCAGCAATTACTGTGGCTTTGAGAAAAAGGGCTACATTACCATGGAGCGCATGAGGGCATCTGTATCTTCATGGGAGCAAGAACCTTTACTTTTAGGCTTTTAGAAATTAGAAAAAATAAACCCCTGGTGGTCATTAAAACACTATCTAATGTGTTTTGTGGAAGTGGTCCAACTAGGAAAGGTAAATTATTTCCATTTCATCACCATCTTTGGGGAACATAGTTCAGGTTTGTATGTTTTAATTGCTACTGTATGTATGTTCTAATTGCTACCTTGGTGATATGCGCACAGAGAAAATATATCACTAAAGTAATTTTCTCTTGACTGTCAATTACAAGGACTATATTTAAATGAAACTCAATGCAAAAAGTATTTTCAAATCTTTTGCATTGTGCTTGAGAATTGCTGGCAGTCCTGTGAACTGGTTATGAGTTGGAGAAATATTCTCTGTATTGACATGCAAATGAACTCTCTGAGCAACCAATTTGCTTTAGAGATTTACATAATTTGATACTAAAAGCCACGTTAAATTAATATTAATTACTTGGTTTTAAAGAAAGAAAGTTCAGAGTGAAGCTGTTCTTCTTCCCACATTTCATCACATCTATGCATGAAAACATTGATTCACAAGGAATAAAAATGTTTTAGGTGTAGGGATATCCAGGCTCTGTTTCTTAGAAGTACATGACATTACCCAAAGATGTTTAAGAAGTACACCTGAAGTTCTTTTTTAGATAACTTACAGAACTCTTATTTTTCTCAGAATCAATGTAGTGCTGTAAGTTCATTATGCACACATACATTTCCTTTCTTATTCCTGGCAAATTTTCATTTCCAACTTTCCCTTCCCTTGACAATCATCATGAGAGCTCCAGAATGATACTTTGATTCCAAAAAAACTGATGTGTGCCTAAGCATACTGGTCTAAATAAAAATCAACAAGAATTAGAAGACGCATTTGCCACTAAAACTTACATATTGTTCTGGCTTATTACGTAAATTATCTTTTAATTAATCAGCACTTGTTGAACTTAAATGTTCAACATCATTCTCATTGCATGTTTGTGTAGAGTAGAATTTAACGAAATTATACAAATGCACACACTCACTCATGATTATACTGTTGTTGAATTCTTTCTCTTTCAGAAATCCCATTAGAAGGCTCATTGGAATCCTGGAATTCTAAATTTATCAAAAACACTATCTCATCCTTTATAATAATACTAACTTCCTCCATTCCAAGGTGATGAAAGCACAAAAGGGTCAATTATTTTGTTGTATGGTGACCAACTTGATGGGAAGGTTAGGATATTCCACAAGGGACACTACAGCTCGCCTCAAGTAGACTATGCCCAAAGGACAGTGGAGGTGTTGCAGTAGCAGTGATTAATTATGTTTGGTAAAGGATAATTGGTCACATGGATGCTACAATGATGTTAACAACAGGAAGGACTTTTTTTTCTATCCTATTAGTTCATAAGAATCTTTTGAACTTGGTAATATATTAGGTAATAAAAAATATTAGAGTATGGTTATTTAGGGCAAATATGAAAAACTAGTAAGAACATAATATTCAGGGTGTTTGGCCCTATTGCTAAATGAGAATTAAACATGAAAAATGGTCACTATTCAAAAAAATGTCAAAATATTACTTGCATAATTTCTTAAAGGTAATTTTAAAAGTTACTTTTAAAAAGTCAATTCACTCAAACTTTTTAGCATATTTTAAACTTATTATTACTTTCTGTATTTCTCTACTGTTCATTAGTAGATTAAATAAAAAAACAATATGTAGCCTTGATAACTTAAAACCCAAATTATTTCACCATTATATTAAATCTCATCAGACACACATAATTATCTTACTTGTAAGGAGAACACAAGATATTTTTCCAGCAATATTTTTAACTTTATTTTTGTCTAAATCAATGTAGTCTTAAGAAACTGAGGAACAATTAAAAAAACAACTTGAATATGACATATGACAAATTATTTCAGTAATTTTTCTACACACTTTAAAAAAAGCTTATCATCTTGAAGTAAAATGTGCTATATACATTTACAGTGCCGATGTAATGAAATGAATTAATTATCCAGCTATCCACTGTTGTATTGAATATTCCTTTGAATTTCACATGGATAAGTTATAACTCCAAAATATGATCATTTCTTTGGGACATAAAGAATTACTGAAAGGTCATCACATTTGAATGCTTTTCGTGGGTGTCTTCAAAGATGGCAATTTTATTTGTTTACAGTAGGAATCATATGCTGAATCCAAGTAGTATTTCCTATATGCTAAGTTTGGGCTAATTACGGTCAAATAATTTTATCTCTTCAGAACTAAGATATAAAAGCAAAATATGTAAAAAAATTAGTGTAATATTTCTAATATTTTAAATTTTCAATTTTATTGGATATATCTTTGGCCGATTTCATTGTTGAAAGTAGTAAATTTTGATTTCAGCATTTACACATCAAACTATGATAATATTAAATTTCATCCAAAAGAATTTCAGATATTGGTAGTCCATGCTAACTTTTCAAACTTGAACAAAGACATACATCTTGGAAAACTTTATATAAAAAGAAGTCAATGAGATACTCATAGAGTTGGGTGAATATAGTGTTTTTGTATGTTACTGCCTTTCAAGTAAGTTATAAAATTAAAATATATGTTGATGTTTCAATATAATAAAGAAAATAAAATAAAACTAATAGCAAAAGAAGCCATAATTCTGTTTGAAATTCCACTATCTGAGTATATAAAAGTAATTAGTTTTAAAAACAAAATATTAAAATGTATAGAACAATGATTCTATATAAATTTATAGAAGTCTGTTTGGTATAAGCTTCATGGCTGAGTGTTTCACATATCTTATTTTGCTCCTCTACCTGCTAGTCTTCAAAAATTTATAGCAATATTTAATGTAAGATCACATGACTGACAGAAATCCTACAAAGAACATCTGTTTAAGGTAAAAGGTGGGAAAACCTTCAAGGGATTTACATCTGACCTCTAGTGTTTGCAATAATACACATTTCTTGTAACACCCTCATGTAGGACTATGTTGTAAATAAAATGAAAAATCTCTACCAAAGGAACAATTTTAAATCATATACTGTAAAGTTAAAGTTCATCCTTGTTAGTGTAATGCAAATAGAGTAGAAATTTTTATGATAATTAAGAATATAAAAATATTGAAATTCATTGTATTCTTAAATTGCTGAAAAACATACCCCTACTCAGTTGAGCAATACTTATTAACTCTGCAACAGCTTATATTTTACCCATTCTTATTACTACAGGGCATCTGGCTGCAACCTGAACTCTCTGCCATGGAACGTCAAGGAACCCTCACCACAATGTTTTCCCAGCCATCATTTATGCTTAATCTAATGTCACCAAATGACAAAAATGAGAGCTCATAATTCTATTTATCAAACAAATCATGTGTCTCAAATAAACTCTGAACTGTGATACAAAATACACAGCACAGCTAACTTCTGTCATTTAATAATTTTGCACTATGAGAAGTACTATTCAGTGGTTTTCTGCACTGATTCTTTCTCCAAACACACTCAAAACACACTGCCAATTGACAAAAGGAACATAGCTTCAAAAGAAAATCTAAGTAGAGAAAGAGCTCTCTGTTAAGCATGCAAGAGGTTAAACATTGCTGAAATAGCGAGACATTTTTTCAGCCCACGCTTCCCAGTTCCATTCAATTACCAACAGCAGTAGCGACTACAACACAAGCTAAAACTGTATTATAAAATCAGAGCTTCCCATTTTCATCAACTCTAACCTGAAGGTTGGGAGGGAATGACATTTACTAGTCAACAGCACAACGAAGAGCCCCCAACTTGGAAATACACATGACCTTGGGGTGTAGCATTTTCTGAGACCGAGTTTCACAAGTTTTATTTGGATCGACTGCATAACAATACATCCAAATGAACCCAGCAGGGTATAAATGTTCCTACCCTTAGCACCTCTGCTCCACAAATATTAAGAGACCTCTGCACTTTGTAGTCTATGTGTTACCTACCAGAGGTAATATTAATCAGAGAATAGTTTACGCAAATATTTCTTTAAAATTATACTTGTTTTAAACAACTTGTTGGTTGATTTATTTAATGTAATTTATTAACATATTTGGGGACTTACATTGAATGGTTTCTGTTCTTTGAGCCATGCTGGAAGTCTTGGTCTACAAATATTTATATTTATATAGCAAGATGTAACATGATGGCATTAACTTCACAAAAAAAAAAAAAAAAAAAAACAACCAACAACAACAAAGCCCACAACTTCCCCTCTGGAATTCAGTGCATAATCACCAATAGATGCTTTAATAATAATAATGATAATTATTTAAATAATTATTGCAATCATTGCCAAAAGTCCCGTTTCAAATTATAAAAATAATCATAACTTGGTTTGAAATCTTGTACGGCCATCGGCATTTCCCCCCACATATGTAATAATTTAAAACAGTATTTTTTTCTTACCTTATTTTAACAGTCAAAAAGTCTCCCAGAAAGATCCCTAAATGGTATGGAAATATATATCACAGTAGGATAATGATTAAAAAAAACTAAAAAGATCCTCTTAGCTGGGAAAAGATGAAAATAGTTTGGTCTGAAACTATAGAAATCTCCAAAGTCACGCCTGAATGGGCGCCCAGGTGGCAAACAGACGACTCTCTCCCACGTCCGCTACCACACTCCTTTGTCAAGTTGATTTAGTTGAAGCGGATCCGCAGGGCACAGAGGGCGTTGCCTCGAGGGCAACGGGTCTGCTCACGTCCCGGGTTCAGCACCGATAGCGCAGTGGACAGCACCAGCTCCTCTCACCTCCAGTTTGTCTCAGTCACTGAACCAGGCTGATTCTCGCGCCTCCTCCCTAAGCAAGAGCTGCTGCCACTCAACCGGGCTTTGCCCCGCCCCCACCGCTGACGTAACTGTTTTGCATATCAACTCCGGGAGAGGTGCCGGGCCCCCCCTTGACTGGGCTTCTGCTGGGGTCAGCTGAGGCAATCCAGGGGACAAAATCCAGGCTTATGATCAATGCGGGCATCGCTGGACTTCACGATCCGTTCACAACCAGTCCTGAAGAAACTAAACGCTTTCAGCGTCGCACGAGCCTCTGCCTTCGCTGGGACTGCCGCGCCTGTGCACTCCAAAGACTGCTGCTCTGCACGGCTCCGGCAGGGGCGCGGGCTGGGGCGGGGGCGGCGGAGCCCCGAGAGCAGAGGCTGGGCAGGCGGTGGGCAAGGGACCGGAGAACAGGATGAATCTGCTCAGTCACTCCGAAAAAATTCCGCGATCCTTTTGATCTCCCTGGCCAAACTTTCCTTCTCCTCTTTCCATTTGTTTCCTGGAAAGGATGCGTTTAGTGTTCCGTTCCCTTTTCTTCGGTTCACAGAACTGCTAGAGGGAGTCGCTGCAGCAGAAACTTGTTCTGGAGAAAAACATGCTTGGAGCACCAGGAGAAAACGGGAAAGCGTGCAGCGCTTATGATCATTCGTAAACAGAATCTTTTTTAATGTTTCATATGAGTGCTGCATAGTATATATCAGCCTTAACGTGTGTTCCTGCAAAATGTGCAGAACCCTCCGTCTTCATACTCATGGTTTAACTATATCGTCAAGCTAAATGGATTTAGAGAACACGGGGTTAAAATAAAAATCATTTAATAATGAAAAAAGTGAAAACTTCTCAAGTTCAACTTCCACTGTCAAAATCCTGAAGGTTATGAAATATTTACTATGTCTACTATATCAATTGTTCTATGAAAGACGAAGTATGCTGGAAGCATTTCATAGCCTTTAGCAATTCTCTTAGTATATATGGTTTATTAACCCCCTGAGACTCTAAGGGTCTTGACAGCAAAGAAAGACGGGCTGCCATGCCAGCAGATTCCTAACTGCTTCAACTTGTCAACAAAAAGAGACAGGAACTGATTGACCATCCAAAAGGGTCATTATTCATATATCACCCTCATGTCTCACCTACAGCCATCAGAACCTATTTGTACAAAGAAATGGAGAAATAAAATTAAGCCTAAATTCTCTGAGGTTGGCTAAAATATTTTTCATTACAAAGTTTATTCAAGAAATTTTATAGCATTCAGCCCTGGCTGATGTGGCTCAGTGGATTGAGTGCCTGCCTGCAAATCAAAGGGTTGCCAGTTTGATTCCCAGGCTAGGTTTGCAAACATACCTGGTTTGCAGGCCAGGCCCCCACTACAAGGCATGGGAAAGACAACCACATGTTGATGTTTCTCTCTCCCTCTCCTTTCCTCTCTCTAAAAATTAATAAAATATTTTTAAAAAGTAAAAAAGAAACTTTATAGCATTCAATACATTGTTTTCCATAGAAATGCATACAAACTAAAATGTATCATTGTATTCCAGGAGACTACTATAATTTTGCACTGAATCTACAATCTAGTTTCTAGACTCTAGTTTCAGGGACTCTTAAAACAAATGCATTTGTTTATATTTCTATCAGAAAAATGTATTTAATAAATTTTTCTGCAATTTTAGAAACTATTTGAGGAAGCATATTTATTTTGTAAGCATATATATAACCAAAGTCCTTCTTAAGAGTCACTTAGATAGCATAATTGAGGGGGGATATATTTTTACTTCTGAGGGAATATTTTTTCTGCATTATACCCACATAAATCTTTTTTTCCAGCTTTCTTCTGGAATTGTTTGTTTCTTTCCCAAATAGTCAATTTCCTGGGAACATCACTCCAACACATCTAAACCATATTACATCTAGGTAATCTGCAATATTTTATTTTCCTCTGACAACTATTGATTTTATGTAAATATGTAAATAATTAGCGGTATGCCTTTCTACTGGTTATTTCACAGATGCACTCACATATACACACATTCTAAAAGTGCCTAAATTCCCAAATTGATTTTAATAATGAGTTCAGACACCATGGTAGGCCATGAAAGATGACATCTGGAGGCAGATGGGCCTTCTACAGTTACAATTACAATAGAGCCCTCTGTATAACCTGTACTTAGGCTGATCAAAGCACATATCTTATGCTTCTTTTGGAAATACCATATGGCATCTTTTGTTCTGTTTCATGGCAACATGCCAAAATGTCAGCTAAGACTTAAAAGTTCACTGTGGAAATATACAGAGTGTATTATAAAAATTCTTATAAAATTCCACTGAAGTCTGTGTCATATGTTGTCTAATAGACACTATTACTCAGTTCACTTCAGAGATCATATTGTTTTGGGCTATGAATTCAATTAAGGTAGGCATAATATTATTCAAAAGCATAAGGGAATGAGAATAGATAACAAAAATATGTTTCAAAGACAGGGGAAAAAAACAGACCATTCTCATTGTCTCCTAAAAAGAGAGAGAGAATAAAAAAGAAAAAGAAAAGAAAAGATGCACGCATGCATAAAAGTACTGGGAGGACCATGCCTTACCAGGGGATTCAGGTTTTGTTCTGTCCTAATTGGCTTTGTGACCAATATCTTTCATCACAATTGTCATTTGTAAAATATGAGTATTGTACCAAATTATTTCTAAGTCCCTTACCTATCTGTGATTCTGTGACTCTATATTGGATTTTTTTTTTTAAATCAGAAATTTCTGTATTAGAATGAAAGACCTTAAGAACTTTCTCCTAAGGTGCAATAAACTGGCATCTGGTTACTAAACCTGTGAAAATGGTAACTTAAGGTAAGTAGTTTGGGAAGTCTGGAAAGAGGCCAAGTGACTGGTACCAGGGATGAGGCTAAGGAGGTCAAAACATAAATTTTACCTACCCAGGATGAAACAAAGAGATGACTGAAGGAGCCTGTTACAATGTTCACTTATTTTTATATAAGCAATATTATAATATTCTCACATATAGTCACACATCTAATTACTGTTAAAGATATTTAAAGTGATTGTAAAGCAACAATAAAATGTAAGGCATGCAGAAAGCGATTAAATGGATTTTTAGTTGTACATTGCCATTGGAAAGATGACAAAGATGTTAAGTAATATAGTCAAGGAAATATCTTTAAGGCTGAATGACCAACATCTAATGAAGAATTTTAACTTAGGTAATGTGCATGAACATACAACAATGAAATACACAGAAATTATGAAGCTCATTTTATTGTTGTCTTGTGTATGTATATTTATACTTGTCTGAAAGATATACCTTTTACTATATTGTGCCATGTATGCGTACCCACATTTTTGGCCCAAACTTTGAGGGAAAAAATATTTTGTTTTAATTTTTTATTTATTTATATTTAGATACTTGTTTTTTAGTATTATAAAGAAATTTTAGCATTTATTTCTGGACATATTATGGTACAAGAAATTTTATGTGACAAATAGTTACAAAACACAAGAACAGATACAAGGTATTCCATATATAATGCACATCCTTATTTTTCCTCAGAAATTTGGCCAAAAAGAGTATATATTATACACAGCAAAGTATGGTAATCATATTACCTTCTGATTCTCTATTTTTGGACTCCTGTATTGGCATCAAATTTTACAACCTCTTTTCAAATAATAATTCTAATGTGTTTGTAGTACATTAAGAATTATAAATACTCTAAAGATAGTAAGTGTCTACTTTGTTATTTTTTAAACCAATTATGAGGAGGTTTGCTGCAAATTAAAAACATGCACATCTTGAAAATTAAATATTCACTACTTTTTCTAGGTAATTTTCACTCTTAATTTTGGAAGATTAAAATGAAGCAGAAGTGGGAAAAAGGTCATAGCCATATCTGACCAAGCCTTCCTTAATTAAATAAACAGTAAGGTTACTATATAAGCACAAAATGTGTCTATGTTAGAGATCTCAAGAGCTGCAATATGAGTTTCTATATGATTGTGCTTTCTCTTGATAGGTATATGCACATGGTGTTTTTAAAGAGCAAATACCTCTTCTAACAATTAGTTCTTATGAAAAATAATCTGAAATTAAATTTATGTTTTTGCTAATTAGCCATTTAATGGTAATTTCAAATGCTAAATATGCAAAGTTTTACAAAATTTTTGAATATTTGCTACTTGAAAATACATTCCTCTCCCAACTTCCTCTTTTGTTTTTCTTCCTTACTTTCATCATTTCCCTTCCCCCTTTCTAACCCTTCTAACCATTCTAACCCTTGCTTCCTCAGGGCCTGTCGCTCTCTCTGTGCCTATCTTATAATATTCTAATAATAAAACATTTATTAGTGACATGCCTGTCATATTATGGGATATTTAGTTCCAGTATTGTATTATTGAATGAAATTTTGATACAATGAATTTAAGTGACCAGAACTGTGATCTTAAAAGCACTGCATACGCATGGGAGGGTGGGTGTGGGGTGGGGAAAGCAGTATTCACCGAAGAGGATTTTCAAATATGTTTTGTTTAAAATATGGACCTAAGGTTTAGGATATAAGAGTCAAAGCCTAAATACTAATATACAAAGGTATAGTTGAAGACGACTATTGAGTTACATACACACACACACACACACAAGGTTTTTCATGTGTTATTTGTAATCAACTACACAGTTTTCATGAAACTATATTAGTTTAACTTTAAAACCTCTTAATAAATGTGGAACAATAAAATTATGTTTAATTTTTGTCTTCACTGTCTATCATAGGGCAGGCAATATGTTAATTTTAAAAAAGTTGTCACATTTATCATGAGTAACATGAAAGTCAGTGTTTTTCTTACTAATGTTTACCTTAATACACAGGGAGATACACTAAGGAAGACTGTTTTATAATTTTTAATCATGAATGCACCATCAAAATGGTAAAGGATCTGCAGCCTTTTTCAGAAAACCCATACTAAAA